CAAACCCTTAACATTTGTCCAGATTCAGTAAAAGGTAGAAGCTTGCCTCCCTCACAAGGAGGGGAAAACAAAACGCACAAAAAAAAAAAAAAAAAAAAGAAATCCCATGCTCCTCTTTCCAGGGCTCTGTTTCTAAAAAGGTTCATTTTGCCATTGGGCTTTCCAACCTTCAAATAAGTGATTGGGGACAAGTGTATTACACACGCTGCTGTAGTCAGTTCAGACATCCTATGAAACAGTGGCAGACTGGCTTAGCTGCTAGACTAACTGTTGAAATTTAGTATAGACACAAACAGAAACAGCACCTTTGATAGTGTGTGCTCTGCCTTCCAAAGATGAAAGTATCCATCCAGAGATACAGCACCTAGCTCCTAGAAGAAGAAAAGGGTTAGCTTCCATATATGTTCTCACCAACTTAAATTCAATAAGAGGCAGCTGCTTAAATGCTATTTTAGTAGCTTGAGCCTTGATAATTGCTGTAAAATTTGCCCGTAGTCTTAATGAATGTGCATAAAGCAAACCTTAAATTTTACATTTGTTTCAGTACAAGACAGTAGTGTAAACATGGGGAAGGATCAGCAGAGAAATGGTAAAACTCTGGCCAAAAATGGAGATTGCCAAAATAGAAGTGTTGTTAGACATCTGATGAAAATGCTTCAGGAAGGGCACAAAATCAAGTTGCTAATGCTAAGTACAGGCACTACGGCTGGATCTTTATTCTGTGACAAAGCCTTTTTCCAGGCAATGTTCTAGTTTAGGGGTGGTCAACCTCTGGCCCATGGGCCTGATGCAGCCCACAGGGCCATATGCATCCAGCTTGAGGAGCTCCTCACAGATTGGGGCATTTGGTGGCAAGAAATGCAGTCACCTCCACCGCTGCCAAATTCCCACGCCCTGTACAGCAGGTTGGGGCCAGGTCACACTCCCTCCTGCCATCCCCTTGGCTGTATGAGGCTATTCCATGTCCCTCCCCCAGGGCTGGGCCCTATCCCCTTTCCTTCGTGGGGCTGAGTTGGAGCCAGGATGTCCCCTGCCCCTCTCTGCGCAGCCAGGTGGGGCCCTCCCACAACTGCCCCTTGCTGGATTGGGACCGTGAGCCAGATCTGGCTCTCAGACAGCTTGGACACTGCCCAGCCAGCCCATTAGCCAAAAAGGTTGAGCACCACTGTTCTAGTGACATATCTTTAAGAAAGAAATGGCAGAGTCATTTCAGTCTCCACATCCTAAACGCAAATTCCATCTATCAGTTGGCAGTAATACCAAGGTGTCAACTGGGGGGAGTATTTGCACGATGCAGTTTACATTTTTACAGTATGGCAAATACATGAAACAAACTTTGACACCAAAAAGAGGGAGAGAGGTTCAATTTATTAATGCTGGGTCTCAAAAGTCAGTGGAATCCTCTAGCTGGCTATTGATAGACATGCAACCACTCTGGTTTCACAACTGGCGAGAGGATGAGTGAGCAGGGTCCAACCTGCAAGCTGTATTCTGTTCGACTTGCCTTTTGTCAATGGTTAAGTGCTCCATAGGCCAAACCTAGTCTCCCCCCTGCCAAGCCATCCACACATGGAAAAATCTTCCTTTTGAAACTGTTATATTTGTTCCAGAGTAACTGCTAGTTAATGGCAGATACAAAAGCAGCAGATAAAAGTACACAAAAGAAAAAAAAAAAAAAGAGGCAGGCATAAAAAAGCTTCTAGCAAAACATCCTAAAACTGCAGCTTTGCCTCAAGTTCATCAGTCAGAATAAAATCTAAGTCACATCTCAGTCCAGCTTTTATCCAGTTCCAGAAGCTAGAAGGTTATCATTTCAGTCCTCTCAAGCTGCCTGTTTACATCCTACTGACCTTGTTCTTATTGTTGAATGCCAATGCTCGGACCTTGCAGTTGTCAGGATTGGTGTTTTCCTTGGGGATATCTTTCAGAGCCCTGTGTGTTATGTGAGCATAGACGGGGACTCGAGAGAGGTTATGCCTGGCATCAGTTTTTGACAGGACATCCTCTGTCACCTCCCAGAGACCCATCGAGCCATCCCGGGAACCTAAGGGTAAAGCACATTGCAGCATAGGTTAGGCACGAACAATTTCTCTACTGAAAACACAGCCCTAAGAAAGCAAAAAACATGATCAGGATTAGTTTTATTTAGCTGAACATGGTCCTGGTGCTTAAATATTAATAAGAGCTAATAAAAGCCTGGTTTTTAAACCTGTCAAATTTAGAACGCTAATTGGAATCTCATTAAAGCTTGCCAGTGGCTAAATAATTTTTAAAGCTGCTATTTCAAGAACTACTCACAGCAATCAAGGACAAACCGTAGAGCAATCATCCACAGAGAATATACATCTAGCAGGGTGCTTAGAAGTGGCTGGGTCAGCAAAGATCTGCTCCTGTTTATACGCATGTTTAAGATGATTTAAAATCTAAGCAAAGCTTGTATGAATACCTTCAAGAGGTTCAAAATAGGTTTCTATTGATGGCATTTCTATCAGTGCTTGTATTACTGGTCTGTTGAATGTGTGTGTGTGTGTGGGGGGGGGGAAATCAACCAAATGAGCACATCATTCTTCTTGATGACGACATTAGTAGAGCAGTCTCAACGTAGACCTGAGACAAAAGCTGCTGCAAATTAGTCCCATCCCACCTCCAACTCCACTCATGGGATTTACCCCACTCACTTCCATCTGTGTCTTAGTGCTGCCATCTGTACAACTGGCCTAATCGGTAACTCAGTTTCTGTCCCTGTACAATGAGAAGAACATAAATTTTCCTCCCCAGACTCGTTCACTAAGTTATTGTAAGAGCCAATTATTTAGTGACACTCTGAAGTGGGAAAAGACTAGGTAAAGGTGAGAACCATTCTAAAAAAAAAAACAAAAAAAAAACCACACACACACACACACAGGCTTCGATGTATTTATTTCCCAAGTACGACGTGAAAAGAACAGCTCAGCATCAAATGATCAACACATAGGACAACAGTTTGGCATGATGTCATTATGTTGTCACCTTGTCAACCAGGTCAAATAAATGCAGTCAGCTCCCCCTGCTGAAATGCTCCCCCAAAAAGGCTTCCCAGAAATTCCCAGAAAGGCTTTCTTCATAATATAAGCATCAAGTGGTACGTAGTATGCCCTGCCACACAATATACGTCGGGGTGACCAACCTGCAACAAGCAGTGCTGGCAGTCTCAGTATGTGGTGTGCAGGATCTTGGGGAGGGGAAGGCAGCACAGTGGCAAACACAGCGGGAAGCAGAAGGGAAAGCAGCAGATCATGCAGGCGAAGGGGACTAGTGACGCTTGGGGCGTAGGGCTAATTTGTGGCATGCCTGCCAAAAGGGTTGGCCCTTACTGATATATATGATCAAGGCATTTAACAGAACACAGTTTTAACTGGTTATGGGGGAAAAAATATATATATATATTTTTCCCCCATAACCAGTTAAAACTGTGTTCTGTTAAATGCCTTGATCATACACACACACACACACAAAAAATGAATTTCTACATATGCCGAGATGTTCTAGTATGAAGCTTTTTCTTAAATTCTAACTAAAAAACAACTACTTTGTTAAACTGGTTTAGCCCTGAAGTCAGGGAACCATCTTGTTTTTTACCTGATCTTTTTGCTTTCTTAGAAAAATTATTCTTTCTATCTGGGTTCTTTTTGTACAATCTATTTCAGCAGAGCCAAGATGGCTGACCAACTTATTTCTCCCTTCAGTCAAGGCCGCTTTAGGTCAAGAGAGATTATACTTATGCCCATGGATTCCTTAAATAGACCACTGCACACACTCATGTGGAGGCTGTCCCCTGCTTCCACCTAAATACCAATAAGAACAAGGGACATGGAAACTCAACCCTTCAGCCTTCTTTGCACCAAAGTGGCTGGCAAACTGATATGACCTAGAGTGACACCCATGATTCCTCTTCCTCCCTCTGAATCACATTTAACCTACCTCTCAGAAATAGACACCAAGCACTTTTCTCTGCTTATGGTAATTCCCCCCAGCTGCTCAACTTTGTACCTTTCTGCCTCTCACTTGCAACTGCAAATATACATTACAGTTTCTAAGATTATTTCCAGTTCTTCTTCATGGTTTTGTCAGTAGTCAGCTTGACAATCTGAGTTGAATGGAGTTCAACTTGAACGGAGTTAGAATGGTTACGTTTTTCTGAGTCCCGGTGACATACAAATTCAGAGAGTGGAATATGTCCCATTAATATACACCTGGTCCCAAAGCATCTTCAAAAATGTCATGTGGTATATATGTGAAAGTGATTAAAATTAAAAGTGAGTAGTAAAAGAGCTATTGAGAGTTAGGTGGTTTTGAACAGAGCTGTACCTAAACAAGAGCCCAAAGCATCCCCTCTCTATAAAGAGCAATTGTATCAGTTATCAAAAAGCCATAAAAACATTTTTATGGCTTTTTGATAACTGATACACCTAACTCTCAATAGCATATAAAACTTTATAGTTATATGTATGTATACATATAAGCATATGTTATATATGCTTATATGTTTTATATATGTTATATCTATCTATCTATCTATACCTATATATATAAAAAAATAAGCATATAAAACTTTATAGTTATATGTATAGTTATATATATAACTATAACTATATATGTAACTATAACTATATATATAAGTTATATGCTATAGTTATATGCTATAAGATTATATGTACGCAGGTGTGTGATTGTTTTTTTCTTTTTAATTAATCTAACCACAGGCAAAACATATTTACTACCTCTGAAGAAAGTTTAGATCTAGTTGGAACGATTTCCTTCAAGTCTGGTATCAACACATGGCTGTCATGGTTAGGTGCATCTTTTTTTTTTTTTTTAAACAATACTTGCTCATCATGTGGACTGTGCAGCAACTTGGTAGTGATGCTGTCTCACACTCGCTACAAACACAAGTTACAGCAAGCATGCTGTAAGCCAGTGGTTCTCAATCTTGTTAGACTCAAGGCACTGGGAAATGCCAGCTCTTCACTTCCATCTTTTTTTTTTCTTCTTCTTCTTCTTCTTCAAGTATGGAAATAAATATAGCAATTCTTCTGTTGCAAATAACTCAGAAAGACCACAACAAATCAGAATGTTTTTGATACTATGGATTCCTATTTGAAACTGCTGAGTTCATCTTCTGAATCACACCTAGGTATCTACTCACCCAACGATGCAGCACCCCATGGCACCCTTAAAAGGTTCTCACATTACTCCAGTTAAGAATCATTGCTCTAAGGTATACCAGATCATTTGGTACTAACATGGTTATATTTGAAGTGTTGACCGTGTCTCAGTTCAACTGCTTTACATGTTTTATATTAGAATCATGACATCCCATTTTTACTACATCAAATATCAGTATCTGATGATCTGATCTTGTCAGGCAATGTAAGTCTTCCCTTGAAAACCAGGAGATGCACTGCACTATAAAGGATCTTATATAAAAGAGCTTTTACCAGAAACAGCCATAGTATCACTGATCCATGCAATAGAAAATATCCAGTCCTTGTGTCCATCCTGAAAACAAGAAAGAAAGAATATTAACCTATTTGTCGCATCAAAGGCTATCAAATGCATTCGGGGGTTCACAGTATTCCTGAATAATCATTTCAGACAGTTTTGTTAATTGTGCAGCAACAGGAGGAAAGGCACTGGCAGAATTTAGATTAGTAACTGAAACTATCCTTGACTTTTTTTTTTTTTTTTTTTTTTTTTTTTTTTTTTTTTTTTTTTTTACATGGACTAGATTTTAAATCTACTCTTCCTGACACTAAAGACTTAATGACAATAATTGTGAGTAAAAAGATCTCCTGATTGAGCTTAGAATTTAAATTCTGAAAACTGAACGAAAGGTTAAATGTTGCACTCATAGGTGCACTGCTCTCTTCTGTGAAATCATCACTACATGCTCCCTGTTTAATCTTCTCATAGGTAGGTAACTGCTATTCATTTTAATCCATATTCTGTATTTTAGAAGACATTAAAACAAAACATTCACAGCGCATAATACAGCTGCATGTCCACCAAAACAGGTTACGTGGAGAAAGATTTTAACAACAGCCTGTGCAGCAAAGCCAGGCTCCTGCTATTGCAGTCCTTGCCTGGGACGAACTCCCATCTGAATCAAAAGAGCATTAGCACTCCAGTTCTCCAAGAAAGAGCTGTCACATCTCAGTAGCATGCAAATGAATAGCAAACAGGAAAAATCTTAGAAGTCAGGTTACCCTGAAGCTGGTTATCAGCTACTACAGGCATAACGACCTCTGCTACCTAGGGAATGAGGCTTTGGAGAAGACAGTACACTCATTTGAAGCTTTGGTTTTGGAATAGGGTTATATAAAAAATGTATATGACACAACCTCTTTAATAAGTACAGCATGGTACAATTTATATCCCATACTGGCAAAAGCTAGTTAGAATTAATCTGCAGAGCCAAATTCTGTCTTCAGACCAATTTGTGCCAGGCATCCTGGATTAGGAAAGAACTCAGCAACCACACAACATCATTTCTCTATTTTAATTTCTCCATATAATTTTCCTGCTAACAACCTGCTTTTTGGGCTTCAGACAGCTTATTAAGAGGGCAATTTCACAGTTAAATATTGGCAATATGTAGGATTTTGTTAATTTCCAAAGCTTGTAAGGCTTTAGAAATGAGTCTCTGCAGAGAGATTTAGCTTTGCAGAGTGGAAATCCATCTCTTTTCCTCTTTGCCTGTTCACATTTCCAGATTGGAAGGATTTAAAAAAAAAAATGCAGAGGCCATATTCATATACACGCCCCCAGCTCCAGTTCACTCTCTCTTGACAAGCTTTCAACAACCCAAGTTCTGCTCTGACCTTGGACATGTCTATGTATAATACTTAGCGAGTGACAGCATTTGCTTTTCTCAAATATATTAACTTACATCTCCCACACAGACGGGATCGAGCGTAGGCAGACGATAAATCGCAAGGCTATTTGGGTTGTCTCCTCCTGTAGCCAAAAGTGTCCTTGATGGGTTCAGCTCAATCGCGTGAATACCGCAACCTTGCTGGTTTACCATACCGGGTTCACGATCTTTCAGAATAGGAATCTTGGTAATTTGGCCAGTCTGGACATCTACCACAAACAACTGAAAAGGAAAACAGGCAAACAAACATGATACTTCATAAGCAGAACCATTACAAAAAAATAAAATCAAATTCATGTCACAAGTTTGGAGAGGAAAAAGGGGTCAGATGACAAACTCCTTACCACAACTATTACACTGTAGGCTCTTACTGGTGCTCCAATTTAAACCTGAGCTGCAAAAATTTAGAATTTCAAAGAAATGCTGCAAGCATAACCTAAAAAAGGACACAGTCAACACTTTAAGATGCGATTTCAAGTTAACATCAAATGCTCCACTGATCTGGCCCAAACCCCCTACCAGTTCCTCTGGTTTTGCAATCAGTTTTTCTTCTCCATTGCTGTAGGAACAGACAGACTATCATTATATGGAGAAGTAGTTAAGAAATGGTTTTTGCTGTCCTTGGACAAATCTTAAGAGGTTATCTATTTTCCTGTTCTACATCAGGACAAAAACTGAGACACTATTGAAGTTTGCTGACAAAAACCATCACCCAAAGACATTTTCCTGCAAACCAGGCAGGTGGGAGACCAACCTGGACATCACTAATTGGAAGCTTTAGTTTTTGACAAGTTGACAGTTTTCAAAGAGATCACACACTGCTCCATAATTCCTGGCCAAATCTAGCTGTACACAGGGAACACTGAAACTAGCTGTGTCTAGTGTTACGAATATGAACACCTGAAGAGAAAAATAATTTTGAATCTTGCATTCTTACAGATGCTGCCGAAGACGACTGCGAGACCTGAAAGTCCAATGCATTCAGAAAGAAGTGCAGTGTAAACTGACTGTACTTGTGTACTAAAAATGAAGCAGCTATGATCCAAAGCTTTTAAAATTAAGTTAAAGACAAAAGAAAGAATAGTAAAACTTACTTAAACCAACTTAAAAAAACAAAAATGAGGCAGATTTCAGAACAACTTTCCTCATCTTCCTTGTAAAATCATTTGCTTTGCAGGACATTTCTAGAATTGGGAAACCAAAGACATCTTTGGATACACAGAAGTTTACACTTACATGTTGGGGTTTTGGGGGTTTTTTTGGTAAATAAAATAGGTAATCCTCTTCCATTTCTTAACAAAACAAATTCAGTACTACACAGCTACAGCAAACCAACAGAACATATAGATCTAAAGCTGTTTGTTATTCTTGGTCTATTGAATACAACTAATTATTCCATAATCCATAATCTACACCCACATAATCTACTCCACGGTTCCTTGGAGAAAAGCTGCCTTTGCTATGAACATAGGACCGAGCGCTCCCTCCAAGCCGCAGATCTCCCACTGTTCTCAAAGGGGTTTCTGCACAGAGATCAAGTCAGGTACAGACTTTATGTAGTGACAGGACCATCGGTACTTCATTCCACTCAAACACCACTCCAGAATGACACCTACCTACTTCCTTTCCACCCTCATTTGTCTGTCCCTCTTTTCCTTTTATATGCACCATCTTCAATTCCTTCTGCATTTTTTTCCAGCTGAAACTATCCACTTCAGACCTCCTTTTTTATTTTAGCTCCTCGCTCCAATTAACTAGCTAATGCAGACATACACTTACATTTGATAACAACCTTCACCTCCCTGCAGGGGGGCTGCAAAGAGGATGGAGCTGGACTGGTCTCAGTGGGGGCAGATGACAGGACAAGAAGAAATGGGCTCAAGTTGCAGCAAGGGAAGTTGAGGTTGGATATTAGGAAAAACTCTCACAAAGAGGGTAACGAAGCACTGGACCAGGCTCCCCAGACTCTCCATGCTTGGAGGTTTTAAAGATCCAAGTAGACAAAGCCCTGGCTAGGATGATGTAGTTGGGACTGGTCCTGCTTTAACCAGGGGGGTTGACTAGATGTGACCTCCTGAGCTCCCTTCCACCCTCATGGTCTGTGATATACAAGTGTCATAAATAGGCACCTCAACCAGGTAGTCTGGAAGAGGAAGTTCACACCTCTCAGAATAACTGGTGGATGCTTGTGGACTCAGGAAAAGAAAAGAGCCCAGCATTAGTCAATGGACTCTCTTTTGGAAGATTCTCTATTCAGCTAAGAGGGCTAGAAACTTTATTTAGAATAAAACTTTTGATTCGGAGGGGTATTCAGATTCTACATCCTATCAATACATCATATAGCTGTGACATGCACACAAGGACAGGTGCCTAACCCTGTTGGTTAAAGGCTAACATTTTGTAAGGTAAAGGCATTAGGGGCCCTCAATAAGTAGGAAGCAGGTTGAGATGCTAGATCTAAATAAAACAACTCTGGAGACTGTGTGAAGGTTCATGCGTCCCATAACCTTCCTGCTTTGCTGGTTTTGGTCCTGCACCCTCAACCACTTACTGACAAAACACATAGGAACAGAGGATTGGGAGGGGCCTCTTGGGCCACTGACTGCAGTTCCGTTTTTATAAGCCATCAGAAACCCAAGGAAAACAAACAAACAAACAAAAAAAGTCACCCAAATAATTGCTGCAAACCCTCTGCCACAACTACAAGGAAAATTCCAGGACATCAAGAATACCCAGTTACATGCCCCAGAAGCTCTCCCAATACCCAATGCAACAAGGAAGTGTGAGTATGTGTGTGTGCATATGCACACAACCCATAGTATATATGTGTGCACATACCCACACCCACCCACAGAGTAATGGTAAGAAAATCCTAGAGGGAAAAAGATTACTGCCCCCTCTCCTGGGAAGCAAATCTCCTCCATGCTCAATGCCAACCTGTCCTAATGGAAACAATCCTTCCAAACTCCAGATCTGGCAAATCTGAACAACCCTGCGTGAGAGAGAAGGATCTTCTAGCGGGGAATGGCTGGGTTTGCCAAGCACCAGTAGAAGCATCAGTGCTGTCCAGCCAACCTGCCATCCCTCACACTCTCCCCCTGCAATGACAAAAATCCCTATGTCTAAGAAGGAAAAAACCTCTCCAGCCACCAGAAGCCAGCAGCATTCCTAGGGGTGGAAAATTGGTTCTTGGCACAAAATGGAAAAACAGCAAACGCCCTAAGGCCCAGGCTTACCAGACTTTCTATGACACTTAAGCTACCCCAACCTGGGGACACAACTACACAGATGCACTGACTGGTGAGCCAGAACTCTGTCCTATCATACCATCCCTTCTATAAACTTACCCAGTTCACCCTTAAAGTTAGACAGGTTTCTTGGCCCCACCATTTTCCTATAATTGCCAACACTAAGAAATCTTCTAATTTCCAGTCCAAAATTTACCACTAGCCAGTTTGCAACTCTCTGATCTTGTCTCTAGACTGTTATTCAGCCTAAAAAAGGTCTTCTCCTTCATGGTCACTGCCATACATATTAGTAAAAAGCAATCATATCCCTTCAACCTCTGCCTTGCCCAACTAAACAAGCTGATCTCTTTTCATCGTCCATAATAAAAGGTCTCCGTTCCCTTCAGCATCCTAGTGGCCTTTCTTTCAATTTGCTCCAGTTTAAAGTTTGAAAACTTGTCATTAGACCTGCACAGTACTCTACCTGGTCTTATCCAGGACTTACATAATCATTTGTCCTTCTGAACCCTCTTTTTAAAAGCTGCGTTGCACTGGAAGTTCATGGTTATCCTATGATTTCCTAGATCCTGCTCTGACGACTCCAGCCTGAGGCCCCCCATCATAGATTCATAGATTCATAGATTAAGGGTCGGAAGGGACCTAGTAGATCTTCTAGCCCGACCCCCCGCCAGGGCGGGAGAACAACAAAAAACCCCAAAAAGAGAAACGGGACTCAAACGAGTCCAGCCAGGTAGGCATCCAGCCTCTTCTTAAAGACCCCCAGGGTAGGGGCCAGCACCACTTCCCTTGGAAGTT